CGGGCATTATGTACCTAAACTTGCACATACTATTCTCTCCCATAACAAGAAGGACAAACAGACCTCATCAACCTCAAGGAATTATGGTATCGACTTTCTTCTTCTTCTTCTTCTTCTTCCATTTCTCTCTCACACACATCACACCGACAGTCAATCAATTCAATAATTGGAAACTTGGAGTACTCTATGGCACATAAGGTTATGTTTGCTAGATACCTTTTCTTTTCTTTTGCTTCTTTTCAAAGAGTTGAATGTGATGCTTAGAATTGGATGATTGCCCCCCTGTGAGCTAGCTTTTATTTTCTTTCTGCATTTACTCTTTTTTCAATTCTCATTTATTTTCTATTTGTAAATAGTATTGATATAATGACGCTCATATTGCGTTAAACTTAAAACTAGCAATATTAACTATGTTTGCTTCATTATTAGCTTGGTGTGACTCTCTATGCTATAAAGCCATACATATTAAAGCCAAAGCCTGCTTACTAGATATGGTGTATCTTGAAGTGAAATACCATTAATTCGATTTAAACATTTTACACTTTTTTCTCATGATTAACATGTAGATGCAAAGCATAATCTATTTGATCTTTATACATCAAAGTTAATTGGGTTGTATAAAGTAAACCGGCTGCTATGGGGTCCTCTTTGGTCCAGCTAGCAAGTCCCCACATTCACACACTTAGTTCCCTGTTCGGGAAACAGTTTTGTTGAATCCATTTTGATTCCAATGACGGAAACTTAATTTTCTTTCTCAATAACAAATTAATCAATATATGCAGATTGGGAATGCTGTGATCAATGATGAAACGGATGTTAGAGGAATGTATGAGTACTTCAAAAATCATGCTCTAATTCGTATGAAGTTCAGACAAATCCAAAAATCCTGTGATTTTTCATCCAATGCCTCAAATCAATCCGATGACTGCGATGCAGCCACTCAAGTTGTTAACCAGAACATTACTATCTGGACATATACACATCTATGCCCCTTATGCGTTCATTCCAATCTCACTGCCCACCCCAAGAGGGCCTCAGTAAGTTAACTCACTAAAAGTTTCCAATCAAACAATTCTGAACTCAAGAAATTGATTGATTAATTGGGTTGTGTGCAGATCATGAATTTCGATCCTGCAGCGATTACTATGTGTATGCTTATCTAAATAGGCCCGATGTTCAAGAAGCTATGCATGCAAACGTCACAAAACTGGCCATGACTGGGAGCCATGCAGTGACATCCTTCAAAATTGGAATGATAGCCCTTCAACAGTTACTCCTCTTCTAAAAGAGTCATGTCAAACGGGCTTCGAGTCTGGATATTCAGGTAAATTAAAACCATTAATTTAGTTAAATTTCTCTATCGGATTCCAGAGGATATATCATTTGTTTGTCAGTATTGGGATAATGATAATAAAGGCAAAGGCTACTTGCTATGAAACACATTGGCCCCGAGCTTTTCATAGATTTCATCTCTCTGCACTCTCACTTTTGTGGAAACGTGCATGTATAGGTCCCTCATTTGCTGTTCATCATTAAAAGTGTAATGGATCAAAGTCAATTTCAGAACATAAATATTGATTATTGCCATTGGGTTGAGGACTTTACTGCAGCTACCATGATAGAAATAGAATATTCATTACTCACCCTCTTTTTATATGTACATTCATTCTATCTTATTTTTGACGAATCTTTCCTATGTCGAAATTTTGCAGTGGTGACACAGATGGAAGAGTGCCAGTTACTTCAACCCAGATGTCTTATAACACGATGACCTTCCTATCAAAACTCCATGGCATGCTTGGTTTCATGGTGGCGAGGTAAATTTTACCTCCATTTCCTTAATCCTTTCTAATTTCTGTGGCAACCCAACCCAAATGGACTGGGTTGGGTTGAGTTGGGCTTTATGGGTCCAATTGGGTTGAGTTTTGAAGGTTGATCGAGGGTTACCCAATATGTAACATTCACATCTAATGCGTAGACATTAAAACCTACTATAACATATGAGATATGACATTGAATATGGAGATGACAATAATCTAACTTTTGAGAGTTCATTCTAGTTTTTGGAAATGTATCTTATTTTAAAAAAGATAAAAGGTTGGGTTTTTATATCCACTACCGATCCAAAACTGTTTGGTAAACCCGCATCACGCAATTAGAGGGCGGATTGGGTTCAACTTGACTGTTCAGTTCAAACTGACGGATACCCAATCCGCGATTTGGCTTGACATTCTTATTAAGAATTTTTTTTTTTTTTGGTTAATAATTTATATCTCATTCATGTTGTTTTGTGTTGACAGGTTGGTGGATATACACAAGTGTACAAGGGATATTGATTTGCCACAGTGAGAGGAGCTGGGCATCAGGTGCCAACTTCCAGCCCAAGAGAGCACTTTCACTCGTCTCCCACTTCCTTAATGGCTCACCCCTTCCCAATACTTCAAGATACACATTAATTCAGCTTCATTATGAATATATATAGCTTCATATGTTTGAGCATTTCCATTTTTACAGGACAGGAAAAGAAGAAAGCCTATTTAAATAGGGGATTAGAGTAGCATAGTTGGTAAATCTCTTATTGATTGGTATTTTATTTATCTCTTAATTTGTTCTGTCAATAATTTCCAAGTAATAACATATATTAATGGCATATATATCTCTCACCTTATCATTAACACAGTGTCCCAAAAGATTCAGCCATCAACTTTCAGCAAATATAAACACTTGGAACTTGGAGATCACATTTCATCATCCACCAAACCCCTGAAGAATCATTCACGTGAAAGACTAGACAACCTGGGTTGGTCCAATTCCTGATTTCCAGGGACCTTAATGGGGGTTGTAAACTTGTAATGATAAAAAAGTCTATGGGGTTGGCTTGTGCGGGGGTTGAACTGGTTTAGTAATATAAGCTATTCAAGTAGAGCTAGGACAATTGTTGTTAAAACATCACCCACAATGTTGCCCAGGATCTTCTTTGTGTTCCGTTTTTAGCATCCTGGAGGGTTTTTACTACTTGATGATGATCATTCCCTTGTTCATCAATCAAGCCTTCCTTAAAAGCCTCATGAAACTGGCCCCTGCATCTCTCACAGCCGTCTTTGCAGTTTCTGGCAGGTGTTGAACTTTTTTTCTTCTGAGACTTAGAGATTTTTTTGGGTACAGAACCAACCTTTTTGTTCCATCCATCTGTGAGTATTAATTCTGATTTTGTGCAGTTAATGGTTTTCAATTTTTTAAGAGTATAGGAAAATAGTCTCGGATTGAGCAGACAAAGAAACAACCATTGAAGTCAAAGACTCAAAAAGAAGCCAGTCCTCAGTGCAGCTGGAGATCAAGGCCTGGACTTTACTGATCGTCAGTTGTTTAAGAGCATTGCCGAATGGCATGCAACTCAGCAGTATGCCAAAAAGAGTTGCCATCGATTTCCAAGCATTCAAGACTCTCACATGCTGGGACATGCAGATCAAGACATGTCAAATTATGTGGGCAATATCAACGTTCATATTCTCCTCTTCCATGATCGTAGGATATCAGAGTTTTTCGTCCTGCTGCATGAAAAAAAAAAAAATTCAGCGCTACAAATATACCTACTTGCGTATTAAAGAATGCGACACTGATTTTTCTTTCCCAATTTGCTGTTTTAGCATGTGCCACAGACCACAGTTAGGTGAGGTATGTTGTAGACTTGTCCACAGTATATTGAATAGATTCTATTCACACCTCAGTGACACAGGGAGTATGATTCGACAATAGGAATAGAATGAACACAAAAGTGGCATTACCAATATCCTTGTAAAAGTCTGCATTGAAATATGCTTTCCACACACCAAAGAATAATTGTTCAGATGGCTGTAGATAAGTTGATGACATAACCAATCTACCAAATTTCATATGAAGAAGATAACCAACCTTGGCAAACATGTATCATTCACCTCAGAAAACTACATCAATTTGGAATTTTTTTAAAATCCACCAAATATTTTGCGTGAAAGAAAAAAAACCTTGGCGTGTCCAATTTTGATTTCCAGATCTCATGAATGATTTTATCTCAATTAAAATATAATTATGGGGTCTGATCAGCTTGTGCTCTTATCTAAACATCACAATTAGGTAATATTACTGTGATATACCAACACTGAAATGTTGTCAAGATCATTTTGGTTCGATGGTAAGCATCCTGATGGCTTTACTACTTGATTGTGCTCATCCCTTGTTCATCATTGAAGCCTTTCATTAAAATTTAAAACCAGAAGTTTAGCTTCTCTCTTATCATTTATATCTCTTCCTCCTTCTCTCACAGTGTACATATCATGTCGTCTACGCAGTTTCTGGCAGAATATAACTTTTCTCAGACTTCAGAATTTTCTTGGAACAGAACAATCTGCATGTTGTTGAATACTGGTATAAATTTTGAGTGGTCGTTTATCATTCGTTTAGTGAACGTGAATCAGCGTGATATGGTTCCACAGGAATCAATTAACAATCAGATTCAGAAAACCATGAAGAAGACAGATGAAAAGTTTCGAGCACACAAGTCCTTATCAAGCTAGCAGCCGTGGAAGCAGCAGCTGGCCCAAGTCCCTATCAAGTTAGTAGCCATGGACCAGCGCTGGTCAACTTACCTAACATAAGTTGCCAAGCTACCACCCAAGAGAGCTCTTTCACTCGTCTCCCACTTCCTTAATGGCTCACCTCTTGCCAACACTTCAAGATACACTTAATAATTTACTTTCTTTATGACACATTATATATAGCTTCATATTCTTTCAGCATTTCCATTGTTTTACCAGGAAAGAAAAGAAAAGCCTGTTTAAAATAGAGATTAGGATTTAGCATAGTTGATAAATTACTTATTGGAATTGGTGATTTTATTCTTCTTTTTGATTAATGTCAATATTTCAACCTTATCATAATAACACAGGTGTCCCAAAACTTCAAGGCAGTCCAACTTGTTTAGTGCAACAGTAACATGACAAACCTTGTACTAATTTGGAGATTACCTTTGATTATTCAAACAAACGTGTAAAAATATTTTTCCAACACAAAGAAATACAATTTATAACGTGAAAGACTAGACAACCTAGGGGTGGTCCAGTTCTTGATTATTCAAACAAACGTGTAAAGATATATGGGGGGTTGTATGGTGTGCTGGATGTATTTATACAAAAATTTATATGGGGGTTGAATTGTGCTGAGATTGAGATTGATTTGTCATGGATATATATAAACATATCAAGCAGTGGCTAGGATTATTGTGTTAAACATCACCCACAATGTTGCCCAGGGTGTTTTTTGGTTCCATTTTTAGCATCCTTGAGGGCTTTTACTACTTGATTATGATCCTTCCCTTGTTCATTAATCAAGCCTTTCATTAAACCTCATCGTCAAACTGGCCTCCTGCATCTCTCACAAGCGGTCTTATGCAGTTTCTGGCAGGTATATGAAACTTCTTTTTTCTGAAACTTGAGAATTTTCATCAATACCGTGATCACTAATTCTGAATTTATACAATTAATGATCTTCAATTTTTTAAGTGTTATAGGAAGATAGTCTCGGATTGAGCAAGAGAGAAAGAAACAACCATTGAATTCTAAAGATTCAAGAGAAGTGAGTTTCATCAGGTTAAGCTGGAGATCAAAACCTGGACATTTACAGTGTTGAGTTGCCATCCCACCTAAAAGTTTAAACTTGTAGGTGAAAGCTTAATATATATTAGATCAATATACTGATCGTCAGTTGTTTAAGAGCAGTATCAAATGGTTTGTATTCCAATTTCCAGCAAGCATGCCAAAAACGAATTTCTATTGATTTCCAAGCATTCAAGCTCGCGTGCTGCAGATTCAACATACATATTCTTTTTTCCTAATGGTTATCTTCACCCAATGCATCTCTTTCAATTTACTCTAAACACATAGATATAATAATGAATATTAGAAAAATGTTAAGAATAAAAACATGTATAGAAATAGTACTTCAAAACATGTATAGAACATCTATTGCTGGATTATGTTGTGTTTGAGTTCAAAGTAATGTACAAAATTTTAAGCTTTAAAAAGAAATTAAACCTTAAAAATATACAGAATCAACCTTTGATAACAAAGTAAAAATTCAAGAAATAAACGTATATTATAACCATTGTTTTAAAAACCGGACCAGAGAGCAACCCGTTTTGATGGCCGGTTCACGGTTCAACCGATCCAACCGGTTGGACCGTCGGTTGGATCGATAACATCATCACACATCATGATGACATCAACACATTTTTAAAAATACTTTTTTTTTTTTTTTAGGTTTCTATTTTTTAATAAGACAATAACAATTTAATTATTGTCCAACATGATTAAAAGTTCAAATTAAAACGTTAGCTAAACTTTCAATATTAAATTTTGATCCTGTCGATTTCCAAGAAGAAACCGAGCTGTCGTCGTCGATTTTCGGCGAGGGAGGAAGACGTCGTCGATTTCTAGCAAGGGATGAAGACGTCGTCGTTGATTTCAGATAGTTCAGATGCGATTTGGGTGGGATTTCAGAGAGAACAGAAGACAGAGCTGAAACTGTGATAATTTTCGCAGAGAACAAACAACAGAGATGAAGTTGATAAATTTTCAGAGAGAACAGAGTGTTTGCTGAGAAATTTTCGTAAGAAAAACTGAGAAAGACTAAAAGAGAAGAAGATGAGAAGGGGCTGCGTCGCGTCGCATATTAGGGATTTTTAATATTTGGACCGGTTTATCCACCGGTCCGATTGGACTGGCGACTCACTGATATTATCCAATTTTGAAACGGTTTAAAGCGGCTCAATGTATAATAACGGTTTTGGGGTTGACTCGAATCGGACACATGACTGGTTCCTGGTCTAACTGGTTGGACCGGTCGGTCTGATCCGGTTTTTTAAAACAGATCATCCAGAAAGCTGAATAAAAACAAGAAGCAAACTAATTAATCTTAGTGTATGACTATATCAAAGTTGTCCTAATCTTCATACACAGTTTTTAGTCCGTGGGCATCCCCATATAATGATTTTTCTTTTAAGATGCTTGAGTCCATTCAGCCGCCACTTACAAACATGAATAAGTCTTTCACAATCAGCTACATATATCGTTTCCAAATTTGGGAGCAAACATCCTCCTGGAAAGGACACAAGACGAGGACAAACGAAAAGACTTAAAGTGTGAAGCGATCTGAACTCATCTAAATAATTGGGAAGAGACTTCAGACTGTAACATGAAAAAATTAAAAGCGATTTCAGGCTGGTACTGGGCAACCCTTCTTCTGGGAAACACACAAGACTAAAGCAATTACTCAATGACAGTAGCTCAAGATTCTTGAGGTTGAACAAGCCCTCAGGTAAGAGCTTAAGATTTGGACAATCCCAAATCTCTAACTCTCTAAGATTTAGGGTACTAAATAAGGCCAAATTCGGTAAATTTGAATCATCTTCAACACCAAAAATGACAGAATGATCTTTTTCTATCTTCAAAGATTCACTGAATGACGTTAAATTGACACAATAACCAGATAAAAAGACAAGGCTGCTTTTGTTTCTCTCATTCATTCTGTTAAAACTTTGAAAAGAACAGAAAAACGGATCTTGAGAAGTTCCAATTAATATATATTTCCAAATCAAAGAACAAAAGGATTCCTCACCCACCATCCTCTTCAATTATTTTTAATCTAATCCTTTCGAATTTTGCCCACTTTCCTACTAGTTTTTATTTATTTATTTTATTTTTCACTTTCAAAATTGCCCCATTTCAATGATTGCATCACAAGAACAAGGAATTGCTTGTGCTTTGTCATATTGAGGTCAAAATCATATAATATGATTAAAAATAATAAATAATAAAAAGTGTCAGAAATTATATTTGTTCACATCGCCATTTGATAAGTTGTTATGATATATTAGTGATTAGCTCTCCTTCCTCAATTTAGCTTTAGGGGTGAGTTCTACCAAGACTTGTTATCTGGTGTCAGCCTTAGTTGTGCACGACATCACCCATGTGTTAGAAATTGTATTTATGTCACATACATCGTACATCGCAATTTGGTAGGAGCACGAGAGAGGGTGTTAAAGGTTGTATTTATCTCACATCCCACATCGTTATGTATTAGAAGTTATATTTATCCCATATCGCACATCGTCAATTTGGTATTTTGTTATGATATAATTGTGGTTGGACTTACTCCTCTCTAGTTTTGGATACCGTTTATCAAAAGAGATTAAATAATTTCATTTTAAATAAAAATGTTTGTTGAGATAAATCAAAACTAAAAATATTACGAAATCTAAGAGATATATTTAAACACTTTGTTTAGATACTAAAGATAATCACAAGAGTTTAATTCAATGAAAATTTTATTTTCAAAGATCTATTTATGCATATCCTTCAAAATCTTTTGTATAAATCATACTACTATTATGTTGTAATTTTTTCATCCAAATCTTTACATTTAAATACAACTCTCTTGGTTAATTAAATACTATAAAACAGATAAAGAAATATGTTTTTTTTTTAATTTAAAATCTAATTTTCAGATACATACTGTTATCCAATAATAACTTTCAATTCAATTTATACATTTTCTCATCTTAATATTAAATTGCATGATGGATAATAAATTACAGAACTTGTCTAGATAATTAATTATAATTGTTGACTAGACTCTAAATTAAATACAGTATATAGATTAAAAAATCACCGAATTAGAAGAAGAATATGTAAATCACCTATTTTAGACAATATCTAAGTTAATAGTAATAGATTATTATAATTAATCCATTAATAATCTTCCATAATTGGGGATGTCTAATAGTGCGAGCTCCCTATGTTAATAAAAATTTATGAACACTGCATGTGTGATAGTTGACCAACCACTGTATCAAAATTCTTCTCACATGGATGAACATGATTGGTGAATAAAAGAAAAGTGTTTGGATCAGATTTATATTAATTTATTTATTTATTATTTATATTATATTTTTCAAGTTTCCCTTCCGGCTAGCCTTCTTGGTTGTTGAAACTTCTCCATTTAAAACAATCATTCGTTTACGATTCCTTATAAACAGTAGTTTTTGGATCCAACTTCAATTATTCTATTCTTTTTTTCTTCTATTTATACTGAAGATAAAGCAAGAGAAAGGATCAAATTAACACAATGGAGAAGAGACTTTTCAGTAGTTTACTTTCGTTGTGTTGTTTCTGGTAGGGAGAGTCATGCAAGAAACAGGCAGAGAAACTTGGCCATTTCTACAACGTTAAGTTGAGGAGAATTCGGGATTGATACGAGTCTCTTTGCGGGAATTCACCATGTGAAGAGAGCTTCCAAAGTTCATCCTCAAGAGGGTCTTAAAGAGAAAGATAGAATTGACAGATTGCCTGGACAAACTCAGGTTAAGTTTTCTCAGTATGGTGGTTAGTTACTGTGATAAATCTGCTGGTGTGCTCTTTATTATTACTTTGCTGAAGCTCAGAAATCAAGGAGTCCTTTCTCTTCTTCTTTGGCTCAATGGAGGTAAGAAACAGACTGTCCATTTTGTTCTTTCTTATTTCTTGAAGTATATTTGACATTATCATATCAATGTGAATGATATATTATTTGCTAAAAGTTGTGAAAGTCAGTAGTCTTTTCTCTCTCTTCTCAAATCCCATCTAACCTGCAACAAAATTGCATGATTACTCCTTGTTCTATTAGGTAGGAAATATTATCATTTTTTTAGATGATGTTGATATTAATATCTAGCCTAGTTTTAATTATTTTATTTTATTATGATGTTGGCTGTCTTACTTTTCTCTTTTTGTATATAATTATATATAATTCAAGCCCACGTTTCTGATTTCTTCCACAAGTGGTGCATATGTGCCTGAGTTCAAATCCTGGCTTCACTCCATGGAGGATTTGCTGGAGTGCATGCCGTCACCACCGCTATTTAAAAACTATCGGACAGAGAAAGAGATTACCTTGAAGGCAACACAATAAATAAGAATTCAGATCAACTTACCCATATGTTTATTTAACTTTCATTGGGAAAGGGAACTTTGCATGCTGTCACACTTAATATATAATATGGGTTTTGTGAAACACATAACATAAAATTAAATAGGAATCTGGAACATGTTACTCTGGTGACTAATCTTCTTTATTATTTGACACTGATGTAGCTTAATTTTTATGTGTATCAGGTCCTGGTTGCTCTTCTCTTGCCTATGGAGCAATGCAAGAACTTGGACCATTTAGAGTCCACAGTGATGGAAAAACACTGAAAAAATTTATACTCATGGAACAATGGTATATATTTTTTATCTTTTATACTGATAATAATGTATATTCCAAGTACATTTACTTATTAACTTTTTTAATTATTTTTTGGGTGAAGCTGCAAATGTTGTTTTCTTGGTCACCAGCTGGGGTAGGGTTTTCGTACTCTAATACAACTCAGATTACAATGAGAGTGGAGATAGGAAAACAGCTGAAGATAGTTATGTGTTCTTGGTGAATTGGCTGGAGAGATTTCCTGAATATAAAGACAGAGATTTTTATAAGCTGGTGAGAGCTATGCCGGGCATTATGTACTCAACTGCACATACTATTCTCTCCCATAACAAGAAACAAACAGACCATCATCAACCTAAAGGAATTATGGTATCGATCTTTCTCTTCTTTCTTCTTTCATTTCTCTCTCACACACATCACACCGACAGTCAATCAATTCAATAAAATTGGAAACTTGGAGTACTCTATGGCACATAAGGTTATGTTGTTAGATACCCTTTTCTTTTCTTTGTTTGCTTCTTTTCAAAGAGTTGAATGATTGAT